ATTTCACGTTTCACTAGAGATGGTTTCATGTTCTACTCGAAATGATTTCACGTTTCACTAGAGATGGTTTCATGTTCTACTCGAAATGATTTCACGTTTCACTAGAGATGGTTTCATGTTCTACTCGAAATGATTTCACGTTTCATTTTCTTCAATTTTAAAATTTTTCGATTTTTACAGGACTTACCATTATCGTTTATCTGGAAGGAATGTTAATCTTTATGAATTATCCATCATTCCAACAATCAAAAAAGAGAAAATTAATGAGGAAAATAAAATTTTGAGTTTATTCGAAGAAACACTTTGTGCATAAAATCAAATTGTTCAAATAGTAAAAAAATTTGAAGTATTTAATCATATTATTATCAAAATCAAATCGATAATTTCATTGACTTGCACAGGAATTAGTTAAATATAGCATTTTAACTTTTCAAGAAAAAAGAACCAAAGATTCTTTCGATTGATAAAGAAGAAAGATAGGGGGGATAGAAGCAGCTTTATATGCATACATATGTGTCTGCATTGTGTGTGTGTGTGTGTGTTGTGTGTGTGTGTATGTGTGTGTCTGAATGTATGTGTGTGTCAGTTGAAATACGTGACACAAATACGACGACATATGGAAACATACATTAATTAAATATTTGAAAATGGCGGGAAAGGGAAAGGGAGGGAGGAAAATGTCCGCGGACTTCAAAGAATTGACTTCAGTAATAGAAAAGAATGAATGTATTGATAAACTCCTTGATTTCCCTATTCTTTCTCATTGCTTTTACCAAATGCGAGAAATGAAATAATAATAACAAATTGGTAATTAGTATTATTATTGCTGTTGTAATTAATCCAATTAATAATAGACGAGGAAATAAGTAAGTGATAATAATATTGATAAGCAACGGTGACAAGAATGATAACAATAAATAGCAAAACAAAAAAAAAAAAACTTTGGCAATAAATTAAGGAAATATACATTACATAAAAAGCATTATTGTAACAGTAAATTGTTGATTTCCATTTAACGTATAATTGTCATTAATACATTATACAATTAATAATTTGATTTTAATAATGTCAAAGATAACAATTTAAAAAAGAATGGTATGGAAGGTTATATTAAAAGAAGAAAGGAATTAGAAAAAAGTTTTGAAATTAAAAAAAAAGTTAAATATTGTAAGGAAATGAAAATCGTAATGGAAATTGCTGTCGCACAAGGAGTTTCTCTTTAATTGTATGTCTCGGCTTCCAGATTTGTATGTATTTGCATATGTGTGTGTATGTGTGTGGTATGTTACATTCTTATGGAAGAAAAATTTAAAGTATAGACGAGAGGAAGGCTTAAATAAACAAGCTGGCCAGCCGTATGAATAGTGAGTGGACAAAGGATGAGGTATATGACAATGGCCGCTGTGTATGTATAAATGTCAAATTGGAAATTTGATTCAAATGGAATTTTTGAGTTGAAATTTTGTAACTGGTAATGAATTCTTGAGAAAAAAAATTTCATTTAAGGAGAAATCGATTAAAAGGATATAACGAAGAAATTTTAGGGAAATTTTTTAGAAATTATCGTTGAAAAATGCATGAAAAAGCAGGAGAGAATTTTGGAAAATGCAGAGAAGATTACTGAAAAATATTTGATTTAATCTTAAAGGATTGACATAAAGAAAGCGTCACAGTGATAAAATTATCAGTAATATATCACAATCGAACTGATGCAAATTTTGCAACTGTTAAAACAGATTTAAAATTTATATTGGACTGATGATAAAGACTGAAAAAAAGAGAATATTGATAAATTTATTATGCATAATCTGTGATAGTTTATCATATAATTCTACTCACAAAAGTGGTCATTTATATGTGAAAAATATATAAATCGTTAATTTAATAT